GCCCAGGCGAGGCGGGCAGGGGATGCCAAGGGGGCAGGCGTAGGCCGGAGGGTCTCCAAGGTCCAAGGGACAGCACGCAGGGAGGTCTTCGGAGTCCAGGTCTGGGGAGGGAGAGAGGGGCAGAGATGGAGGGGGTCGCAGAGACCCCCCCCCACAAACCCACACTCACTTGTGATCTCTGTCCCCCACCCACCAGCTGTGTGAGGTTCTTATACATGTTCACACCCTTGTCGTGGCCTGTAGCACCCCCGCGCAGTAGTAGTAAGTTGTACTGCCTCTCAGACACACAACAGTTGTAGGTTGTTATCTCTAACCCCACCAGCCGAATGCGGTGATCACAACCCGCACACCATCCATAGCAGGTTGTTCTCTGTCTCTCTGGGTCTCTCACTCACACGCAGCAGTAGTAGGTTGTTCTCTCTCTCTCTCTCTCTCTCACACACACACACATACATACTTGTGATCCCTGACCCCCACCCACCAGCTGTGTTAGGTTATTATATATGTCCATACCATTGATCCTACCAGCCGTATGCGGTGATCACAACCTGCACACCATCCATAGCAGGTTGTTTTCTGTCTCTGTGTCTCTCACTCACATGCAGCAGTAGTAGGTTGTTCTCTTGCACGCACGTGCGCGCGCGCACACACACACACACAGAGCAGTAGTAGGTTGTTATCTCTAATCTTACCAGCTGTATGCGGTGATCACAACCCACACACCATCCATAGCAGGTTGTTTTCTGTCTCTTTGTCTCTCACTCACACGCAGCAGTAGTAGGTTGTTCTCTCTCTCTCTCTCTCTCTCACACACACACACATACATACTTGTGGTTCCTGACCCCCACCCACCAGCTGTGTTAGGTTATTATATATGTCCATACCATTGTCATCACCTCTAACACACCCTAGCAGTAGTAGGTTGTTCTCTCTCTGAGACACACAAGAGGAGTAGGTTGTTATCTCTAACCCCATCAGCCATATGCAATCACAACCCGCACACCATCCATAGCAGGTTGCTTTCTGTCTCTCTGGGTCTCTCTCACACACACAGCAGTAGTAGGTTGTTATCTCTAACCCCACCCACCAGCTGTATTATGTTATAATGCATGCACACCTCCATCTAAAGTAGTCTCGCTCTAACATACACCAGCAGCGGTAGGTTGTTTTCTATCTTTCCCACACACGCAGCAGCAGTAGGCTGTTTTCTCTCACACATGCAGCAGCAGTAGGTTGTTTTCTCTCTCTCACACACACGCAGCAGCAGTAGGTTGTTTTCTCTCTCTCACACACACGCAGCAGCAGTAGGTTGTTTTCTCTCTCTCACACACACGCAGCAGCAGTAGGTTGTTTTCTCTCTCTCACACACACGCAGCAGCAGTAGGTTGTTTTCTCTCTCTCACACACACGCAGCAGCAGTAGGTTGTTTTCTCTCTCTCACACACACGCAGCAGCAGTAGGTTGTTTTCTCTCTCTCACACACACGCAGCAGCAGTAGGTTGTTTTCTCTCTCTCACACACACGCAGCAGCAGTAGGTTGTTTTCTCTCTCTCACACACACGCAGCAGCAGTAGGTTGTTTTCTCTCTCTCACACACACGCAGCAGCAGTAGGTTGTTTTCTCTCTCTCACACACACGCAGCAGCAGTAGGTTGTTTTCTCTCTCTCACACACACGCAGCAGCAGTAGGTTGTTTTCTCTCTTTCTCATACACGCAGCAGCAGTAGGTTGTTCTCTCTCACACAGATACATAACAGTAGTAGGCTGTTCTTTCTAACCTTTCCTACCAGCCGTATTAGGTTACCCACCCACCAGCAGTAGTAGTAGGTTGTTCGTTCTCTCTCGTTTTCACACACACCGCAGTAGTAGGTTATCATCTCCAACTACCACTGGTGTTAGGGGCAACAAGATCATAATTTCTCACATCACAAAAGCCTTCGAGTGGCTGTCCCCTTCCACCCTAGCACCTGAGGCTGCCCCGCTCCCCGGAGGGTGCCAGGTTCCTGTCCTGCCCTGCAGCCATGGCATTTCCGTGGGGCCCGGGCGCGAGGGCCAGGAATCTTGCGGGTAGAAATGTCTGTGCTGCAAACCACCGGCAGGAAAGCCGCCTTCCCACGAAAATGCAAATATTTGGAGAGACACAATGTGATCTCGGCCCGGCTTCCAGCCCCGAAGCACGGAGGGGGAGGGGGGCGTCCTGGTGCCGGATGACGGACCCCTTCCCCCGAGCCGTGTGCCCCACAAAACTAAAACCCCAAGAGCCCTGAGACTGGGCTGCCCAGGAGTGCCCCCCCACACCCCAGGCCCCACAGCCCCTGCCCCCACAGTGC